TTAAAGAAAAACCCTCAAAAAAAAAAAAAAAAAAAAGAAAGAAAAGAAAGCTGGATCTCACATGACCAACTGCAGTTCAAATCCCAGGTCCCAGAGGCTTGAAAAAACATGCCAAGCATGCATGCATGCATGCCCCAAATCCTAATGGGATGGAGAAACAGAGGAAGGACTGTGGCAGGGGTGCTTTCTCTCTTTCTCTGGAGAGCACACCCGTACTCCAGGAAAAAAAAAATAATAAAGAACCCTAAGAACAATTTTTAAATTTTAGAGTCAAACTTTAACAGTGTGCTTCCACTGGCCAGCAGGTAGTGTGGTAGTTAAGGCCCTGGACTCCCACATGGCCGACCATGGTTCAAACCAAAGCCCAGACCTGACAACTTGCTTTCTCATGATTTCTCTCTTTCTCTTTCTCTCTCTGGTGAGCACGTGCCCTATAGCAAATTAAAAATAATAAAAATAAAATAAATAATTTTAAAAGAAGGGGAAAAAAACTGTATGACCCATTTAATCTTTTTTTAATAATTTTTTATTTTTATTTTATTTACTCATTCATTCATTAGTTTGACCAGAGAGAGACAGAGGGTGAGAATGAGAGAGAGAGGAAATGAGAAATCAAGCCACCAGATTCAAGACTCGAACCTGGTCGACCGTGTGGGAGTGTCCAGCGCCTTAACCACCACGCCACCAGCTGGTCCCCAACCCATTTAATCTTAATCACGTACTCTATTTTCTTTCTTTCTTTCTTTCTTTCTTTCTTTCTTTCTTTGATTTTTGCTATAGGACACCTGGGCTCACTAGACAGACAGAAAGCAAGAAATCACCCCCTAGTGAGATGGCCATGCCACAATCTCTTCTTCTCCACTCTCCTCTCCAAATCTCGGGCACGCACACACACGCACCCACTATGAGTTAAGCCACTGGGTCTGGGACTCAAACAGTGGTAGGCCATGAGGGAGTGCAGCGACATCACCACTAGCCATCTTTTTTTTTTTTTTTTTTGGAGAGATTTTCACTGTAGGGCGCGTGCGCTCGCCAGACAGACAGAGAGAGACATAGAGACAGAAAGCGAGAAATCACCCCCCAGAGGGGATGGTCACGCCGCAATCCCTTCTCCTCCATTCTCCTCTTGGGATCTTGGGCATGTACGCACACGCGCCCGGCGTGAGTTTTAAGCCACCGGGTCCGGGACACGAACCGCGGTCGACTACGTGGGAGTCCAGCGACATAGCCATTACACTAACTGCTGGTTCCCACCACTAACCATCTTCAGGCCCTCTGCTTTCTTCTCATGCCATACAGTGAGTGCACTCACCAGGGAGAGACAGGAAGCAAGAAAGCACCTCCCGATGGAGTGTGCTCATCATAAGCCCGTCTCCATTTCCCCAACCAGTCAGGATTTGGGGCATGCACTCACGTTCCTGACAGGACTTTCATGCCACTGGGGCCAGGAATCGATCCATGGTCAGCCATGTGGGGGCCTGGCTTTCTATGCACAGCACTTAACCACTACACTAACCATGGCAGCCCAATCACTACTCTAATAATAAACAAACAAACAAACGCCTGAGAAGGCATTTGTAAAAATCAAACTCATGCTGAGATGACAGACCTGTCTCTGAGGGCAATACCAAATCAAGAGATCAAAACTTTTTGAGTAGAAGCAGCTCTGTGGCAGAGTCATGGATAAGGGTGACTACTTCTAAGAGAACAGTGCACATTTGGACGTATGTAAGTCAAGCTATGTTCCTTACATTTTAACTGGCTTTATTTTGGTGTTTGATATGTTGAAACAGAATATCTAAAAACAGAGAACTAAATTTACTCCTTAGATCTGTTTCATGAGACTGACATAAAAGTGTTAAAGTAAGTATTAGAAGGCATTTTAGAACAAAACTAAATTTGAATATTTAAATAAAACACTTAAAAATTCCTCTCTCCTTTTTAGGTAGAGATTTCCATTTTAGCAGGATCTACTTTTAGATATCATAAGCCAGCATACCAAGCAGATAAACTGTCATATATATCTTCAAAGATAAAATAGGGGCCTATACAGGCTGTGTTAAGTACACATGTTATCCAATGTTAATTATAAATAGTAACACGTCAAGATGTACCAGGATCCCAGTACTAAGGAAGCTGTGTGCTAGATCATGTGCTAGCATGGCCTTGCTAAAGCCCTGGGAAGGGGATATTCCTCACCAATGAGAACTGCAGCTTCGGAAAGTCACACAGCTAACTCAGGCCACTGAGCTGATCGGTGACAGAGCTACAATCCACGATCAAGCTCTCGGGCTGCCCTGTAGCCAAATTCCAAGATCCTTGCCCTAGAGGCTTGGATAACACACCAGAGTGTGTGCACATGGACCAAAGCTGTCAACAGGGTGCAGAGGAGGAGGAGGGACTGCGGCGTGGCCATGCCCCGTGGGGATGCTCTCTCTCTCCGTCTGCCTCTCTGTGGCAAGCAATGTGCTCTCTGGCAAATTAGGGGGAAAAAAGAATAAAGCCAAACTCTTGACTTTTTTTGCTCTGTATTTGTGACTACTGACTGTATTCCTGGAATACGTTACCTCAGAAATAGAGAAAACATGCCACATCCTTCAGACACGACAAGGCAGAGAGGGTCCACATGACTGCTGCTTCTTCCTCCCTCTGCATGAGGCGCGATGGCAAAGCAGCAAGGACCTCAACAGAAGCTCACAAGGTATTAGAGATACACCAGACTTATGCAACCCTCGAGAGCTGTTACCTCCTGAAGAACTGCATCTTAAAATACATTAATGTACTATATAATAACAAATTAAAATACGTTGAAAGAATGGTATTATTCTAGCCTATACTTCAATAACTTTCAAGATAGTTTTTTGCTATAGGGCACGTGGCTCACCTAAGGAAGCAGAGAGGAGTGAGAAGGCACCTCCCTGGGGGTGGGGAGAAGGCCGCACCGCAGTTCCTTCTCCATCCTGCTCTTGGGATTCTGGGCGTGCATGCACAGGGACAGGCAGGATTTTCAAGCCGCTGGCCCAGGATTTATACTGTGCGGTCGGACATATGGGATCTACCCACTGTAACTTCTATGCCGCCTGCTGGGTCCTGTTGTTAAATCATTTCAAAAGGCCACTATACAATTACAGCATAAAGAGGTGGTCCTGTGATTCCCACAAAGGGTATGATATTTCTTCCTACAGTAAAATTTAAATAAAAAGAAAAGGATGCACATGTGTCCTAAGGCAAAATAGATAAAGAAAGAAAGAAAAGAAAACTGGTTCAGGAAATACTTTTTTAAAAAAATATTTCATTTCATTTCATTACTTATTTTAATTTGACCAGAGAGAGAGACAGAGAGTGGGAAAGAGAGGAAGCAAGACACCAGCAGGTCCAGGACTCGAACCTCAGTCGGCCATGTGGGAGTCCAGCGCCATTAACCACCACAACACCTGCTGGCCCCAGGAAATATTCTGAATACCAATTCACGTATTTAATGCTACAGAACTTCAGAATTCACAAATTTCTCTATCTGCTAAAAAGCTCTGTACGTCCAACTCTGTAGAAGTGTGCAAAAGAGATTAAAGCTACAAAAGCATGCCTCAACTACACGTGCACTACAAAGAGCCAAGTCAAATGCAGTGCCATTAAAAATTTCATACTTTGAGGGCCAGCAGTTAGCATAACGGCTATGTCGCTGGACTCCCACGTAGTCAACCACAGTTTGCATCCCAGACCCGGTGGCTTAAAACTCACGCCAGGCGTGTGTGCGTGCGTGCCCAAGATCCCGAGAGGAGAATGGAGGAGAAGGAATTGTGGCGTGGCCATCCCCCCTGAGGGGTGATTTCTTGCTTTCTGTCTCTCTGTCTCTCTCTGTCTGGTGAGCATACACGCCCTATAGCAAAAACCTCTTAAAAAAAAATCTTAAACAAAAATTTAAAAAATTCATACTTTGGGGGCCAGCAGGGGGAGTGGTGGTTAAGGCACTAGACTCCCACATGGCCGACCATGATTTGAGTCTTGGACTTGGCGGCT